CTAGAAAAATTACTAGAATTTCACTAAAAGAAACTTTTGGAAATTGCTCAAGAAAAACTCAAGAGAGTTCTCTCAGAATGAAAATAATCACTTCAGTTAAATAGAGCTTTTGATGTAGATACAGTCTAACCATCATCAAAGCCTGGAACAGATATTTCATCCTCCCTTGTCCTGTCTCAGCTTCTAGCTCTATGCCTGTGAAAATGAATTTTAGCATCTAGGGATGTCCTAAAGCTATAAGGATATCTATATAATTGACTATTGTCATCTCCTATGGGTCTTGATAATCACTTCAGTTAAATAGAGCTTTTGATGTAGATACAGTCTAACCATCATCAAAGCCTGGAACAGATATTTCATCCTCCCTTGTCCTGTCTCAGCTTCTAGCTCTATGCCTGTGAAAATGAATTTTAGCATCTAGGGATGTCCTAAAGCTATAAGGATATCTATATAATTGACTATTGTCATCTCCTATGGGTCTTGATATCTTTCCTATCTAATTTGATGCTGATATTAGGAAAAAAAAAATCCTTAATCATTTCCTTCAGATTATGGTACGTATGAAGAACTGGAGAAGTGTTTCATACATTTTGTACCGTGTCAGATAGTCTCCTTTTATACACAGGGCAGTGGTGGGATTCAATTCAACCCACCAGATTAGCAGCAGAGCTCCACAAGCACCAAGATCTCCAGCCCGAGCAAAGAACCTTGCAAGAATATGGGGGGTAGCAGAAGGTATCAGTTATGTCACAGGTATATTTAAGAAGGAGTAATATTAAAGTTGTTCATGGAACTATATTTTGATATACCTTGGACCAGATCTTGCAGATTAGCGTGATACCTACTGAAGCACAGTAGGAGACCTTTGCAGAGCTGGATCCAAATGACTTGCCAAGCTTATAAATTCTGTGACAAAAACAAAGGCTGAATTCACTTCTTCTGAGGGCTGGTACAGTACCTGACCCACCAACCCACCTACTCCTTCTATTATCATTCATCACATATTGCAAGGACGTAGGTCGTTCACCTCTGAGGATGCGTGGAGGGTCTGCTTCCTCCAGCAAGGGAAGGTTGGCAGAGAAGTCACCATCACATTTCAGAGAGTTGAGTCTAGAAAAAGGTGAACTTGAATTTTGTTTGAAGAGTTATAAGGCTGAATTCCTTTTTTAGTCCTATAAAAGATCATCTGAAGTCAGCATGAATAGTTTCAGATTGTCCTTCAGAGCTGAAGAAATGGTTCTCTTAAAGGAAAAATATTGTCATTCTCTTGCCACTTGAGGGACAACAGCTTGGCCTCAATTCTATTATTCCTTTTAATATATTATATATTCTTTGGCTTAGTCATGGGAAGCAAAGCAACGCAACTGCTTTCTAATAAATAAAATGTGCTCAGAAGCAACTCTGAAGCTTTCCAGATAACTGCATTTTGAGTTTGCCAGGAAGCCAGATGCTGCTATTGGAAAAGTAGCTGCTATGGTTTGTCATCTGAGCCTAGAAATTGATACCCAAGAATGATATGATGAGACAGACTCGATGATAGCACTGCTCTTTCTATAAATAATATGAAGAAAACATTATTCATTTCAAAAAAAAGTCTCTTTTGCTAGAGACTTGCACAGCAAACCAGAAAATTAAAAAGGATAGGCATGCTGCGTTTGAATAGGGCCATCAAAAGAACACGATATACACAATTTAGAGAACATATAGCAGCTCTCACACATTTTACACTACATAGGCTGTATTTTTCCCATAATACCAATAGTTATGAAACTCATTATCTTTTTGACAACGGAGAAACGGAATATTATTCCTTTACTTGCTTGATCGTGTCAAATGCCAAAGCAAATTATGAATGCTTGTCCTTCAAATACTCATCCCTCCTGGTAACATATTAAATATCAATAGTGTTCACATTCAGCTACAGAATGAACTAATATTGCACACATCTCTCAGATCTAAGGTTCACTGTGCCCGTTACCTGTCATGCGATTTCATCTCTCGAGTCCTACTTCTTGTCCATATCGTAATAACTGGGAAATTCATTGCAGTGTTAAACGCCACATTAAAGATCATCTGGAGTATGAGTTAAAACTGTGAGCAGGGGTTACTCATGAGTTTAAAGTGTTAAAAAGGGAGTGGGAGAAGGAACAAGGGATTAATAGGACCGGAGCCTTGATTTTGCATCACATTTCAAAGGATTTAGAGAGGCAGTATCCTGATGAGACGCTACGGGAAGTTTCTAGCACAAGAGACCTGCTTGAAGTGCAGTGAAAAAACTCATTATCTTTTTGACGGTGGAGAAACGGATGTGCTGACCGAGGGTTCATCCAGACAAGGCAGGACTGGAATGAACTGCCTTTGTTCTCGGGGCAGCATCCAGAGGGAAATAAAAATTCTCTTTGGGAATACAGTGGGGAATGTGGTGCAATGAGGGATGGGGGAAAGAAAAAAAGGAAAAAAAAAATGCCTGTGAGGTTTTCTCATTCCACCCATTATCAGTCAGTTCTAAGGAATAATTATGCACCT